GGTTCCTTACACCATTTTTCATTTTATGTGACTGTTTAGGATCTACAACGATTTAAAGTTGTATATTAACCACTTACGCTTTTAATTTCAATCTTACGTTTGTATGGATCTTTGTTACTCTTTCACCTAAAAAATACTGAATGGATTTTAATGAAACTTTACAATAATATAGCTCATACATGATAATACCATACAGATAACAATTTATGTAGACATTGAGTGAATTGGCCAAAATATAACAATAAGAGTCACGTAAGGCGGAAAAAAATCTTCCATCTGCGAGCTATTTTGGCCCGCACTTCAAAAACAATAAAAGTTATATGAATATAATATACAGTTAAAATGTATCTCTTAAATAGTTCGACAAGAAAGTGTGAGACACCATATATCTATTTTTAATATGCTAGCCATGATCGCTAAAATAGTGAATCTAAAATAAAGTATAAATTTATGTCCATTTCCAAAATGCACATGTTTTTTTACAATAATCATACATTAAGTTTTTAAAGTTTATGTTAACGATATTACTTCATGTTACAAAAAAAAGGGTTACTTAACATAATGAGAAATAACCAATTTTTCGCTAGTAGGTACATATTTAATGGACTCCCTGTATTTATTAATAATTAGTTCGCGATAATTTTGGTTTTGTAATTATAAACGACTAGTGGCCCGCCCTCGCTTTGCTTCAGTGTAGAGCTGTAGTGTAGATAATAGTTTATGTTCAAAGGCTTGTATTATACACAATGACTGTCTTCATAATAATTATAAACCATCCATTCCAAATAAAAAAATCATTGCGTAGTTTAGGACCCGTTGTACCGAATGCAACATTGCTCTGCTGTTCCGATTTGAGAAATTATTTTTGTATTGGACTGTGCATTTATCGAGGAAGGCTATGTACTATATATTACCAGGCTACGACCAGTAGCAGCGGAGCATCGATTAAAAATGTTGCAAAAACGGGTAAAAATAATCCATTGCGCCCTTGGTAAACGGTTAAAGTTACATAAAAATCATGTATGATGGAATTCTTCCCCTTTAAAAGTTCTGTAAAAAAGTCCACGACAGCCTATGTCCATATTTTAAGTTTAAGGTTTATAGTGAAAACCTTTTTCTTCAGGTTAACGCGGGTGAAACCGCAGTTGACCTCTAGTTGTGACATAACTGTAATAGTTAGACATATGGTATAGCAGACTTTTTTGTAGATATTGATATCCTCTAAAGTTTTAACTTTAGTACATCACTTTGCTCTATTGTCAATGACTTCCGCAGCGTACGCGATATAAGTATATATGTACATAATATATGTACATACGCGATATATGTACATAATTTCAATACCAGAAATAAAGATAAACTCAAATTGCCACCATTGAGACTCCAAAAGGTTCTTGGTTCATTTGTGGGTCAAGGTGTATGTTACTATAATAAAATACCAAAAGAAATAATTAATTTACCTTTTAATAAGTTTAAAGTGTGTATAAAAACATGTCTCCTTAAGAAAGGTTACTATACTGTAAAAGATTTCATAAATGATAAGTCACCTTGGGCTTAACATAATAGACTGTCTTTTTACTTTGCTAATTTGGTTGAAAATTGTTTAATCGCCACTTCTAAATTTAAAAATAGTACCTAGTTATACTTAACTTTTGTTAATTAATAATATTAATGTGATGGAAGTTGACATCAACACATGTATTCAATTTTTGATGTCATCTTTCAATTGACGACACTGTGTGAAACAAAACAGGGAGAAAAAAATAGCCCTTGCTGAGTTTCTTGCCGGTTCTTCTCAGTACAAGGTCTCCCGCCGTAGATTTACGAACCGATGGCGTAGCGTTTGACTTTCACAAGAGCTTGTAACAGCCTAGACTGAATAAATGAGTTTGAATTTGAATTTAAGGCTATGTTTTGGTATTTTTTACATACGTTGGGTTAAATTATCGAAGTTTTCATATAGAACCCTAACTTTTATGAAAATACGCTATAGCCTATATATATAGTGATAATGCAGCATTTAAATAGTAAAAGATTATTTAAAATCGGTCCAATACTTTCTGAGCCAATTCGTTACAAACATACTTAACTACATACAAATTTTTCTTCATAATATTAGTATAGATAATTTTGCAAAATTCAAAGTAAATAATATAAAGTTTTATAGGTAATCTAATAAAAATAATATGATCATAGGTAAATCACCCCTTCTATATCACCCTACGCCTATAAGTAATGCGATATTGTAGCTTAGAACTAAGGCCCATCTATTTCTATAGGGATTTAGCTATTAGAGCGCGGAAGCGTAAAAACCAAACTCAGTTTCGCATCTATAATATTATATTAAACCTATACTTACTAGAGATCCACTGCACGGCATTGCACGGACCAAATTAATTTTGTAAATGTAGCCTATGTTACTCGGATAAAATAAAGTTATAAAAAAAAACTACAAAAATTTCCTCTCGACCAAGTAGTCAGTGCATTTTTTTCAACTAAAAGTTTTCTTTAGATTTATAAATCGAGCTGATTAATCAACGATATTGAGATTGATGCTTGAAAATATAATAAAAAATAATGTAGCCTCCTTATGATGAATGAATTTTCGAAATCGGTTCAGTAGTTTGACAGATTATTTTTGTTACAAACATACAACTCTTGCCTCTTTATAATATTAGTATAGAGAGTTAGGATAGTAATATTTAATTGATGAAAAAGATTTCAAAATAAAGTAAGTAATAGGTTAAGTTGATTATATTTGTTATAATGATTTAGCATTTTTGGTAAACAGGGATTCGTTATTCGGTAATTTATACATACTTATTTATTCTTAATATAACTTATATATTATAAACTTTGCTTTGGTGATTGCATAATTATTTAATTTAGCGATCTAAGGCAGTTGCCACCAGTGTCCAAAAGAACAGACGGGAATTGTTGCTTTCGTCAACCTGCGACATTAACGTAATTGATTGGTCATCAACAACATTTTAAGTTAACCTCTGGCGGCTAAATATTTGGTTTCTGTGAATTATGTAGGTATATCAAATTACGAGACTAGGATATGACACTGTATTTGTGTATATCATAATCTTAGAGCCGGACGTTGACATTACAATGCAGCCACTGCCAATATTAGATAGTCGACGAATAAAAGTAAATGAATTTCAATTTCTTACTAAAATACTAAAAACAACATAAGCAAAAGATGACTTTTTGAATCAGTAATAGTTAACTATAAAATTTACATTCATAAGATATATAGGTAACGACTTGATTTAACTTAACACATTTTTGCAAAAATTGAGGTCCATCTGTAGCCTTGACCCTACTTTAAAGTACTCTGTGGCTTAATAAATCAATCGTATAGACCACCGCAAGGTACTTAATAATTCCCGCGATATTAATTCACTTACATAAGTGACAAGACTGCGGTATATACCGTCTTATTATCCTAACTAAAAAGTGTGAAATAAAAATGATAAATTTAACAAATCAAAAAACCCGACTGCTAAAATATTACTTGAAATAAAAACTGAACTTAACAGGATTATAGACTACCTACTGGACTTGTTTTTTTATTTTCAGTTTTTATTTCAAGTAATATTTTAGCAGTCGGGTTTTTTGATTCTTTAAATTTATCATTTTTTTTCTAGAAAAAAATCAACTCTGATTTTTTTCTAGAAAAAATATTCTATAGATTTTTAATCGCGCAGATTGCGTACGGTTTCAAACCACGTAGCCCCTTAGCTGTAGTTATAAAATCTACATCATCAAAATGTACACGGCACACAATACTGGCAGATGATGGGTTCCAATTGTTTTCTGCTCTGCAGTTTCGAATAACTAAAACCCAGTAATCATAAAAAGGTGGCAAGAGTAATTTTATATGAATAATATGGGTTCTGTTCTTTCCGTTTGGAATACGGAACCCTAAAAAGTTACGAAATCTTTCCAAGCCACAAATGCATGTAATACAAATTTCCCACTTTTAGAAAAAAAAACCCTAAAAAAAAAGTAACCACACAGTTGTATTATTTATTTTAAATTTTCATCACACTAAATAAATTATAATTTAGAAAAAATATCACGATTCGTTATAACTTACGCATGGTAGGTGATTTCTTGTGGCTTTTTAAGTTTACTCCTGTGGTTTTTACATGATTTCATCACACAAGACGGCATATTTTAAAAATTTCGTCCGAGCAATTGAACGTGTGACTGGCGCTGTCACGCGGAATCATATGGTAGCGGGTTGTTGAACCTGGTGCAATAAGTGTGAGTGTAGGTACTGTACAATAAACGAAATTGTTGGACCTTGCATGCTTCACAATTGTTTACGAACATTTGTACGTTGAAATTATACTTTCTTTATTCATAAGAAGTGTTTCTAATTATATATGATCACCACCGTATGTCACGGAACTGATGCCTTCTGACGTTACTTTTGTAACATTTTGCGTTACTCTTGGCCTTGATGCGTCACGACATAACACGATAGACTAATATAAATCCGACATGAGGTGACACGTGTATGTACCTCGCGTGCCAAAAAGCACCAATGTTCTTCCTTTTACGCTAATTGATTTCTTTGCGGCACCGTTTTCGATATCTGATGTAATGTTTAAAAAATATCTTACTATGTCACGTTAAGCTGTAATAACGATATTATGTAATTGAAATAGGTAACCGGGCCCATGCCTTTCAACACTTATTTGTTCTTGTGAGTACTCATAATCTGACACGCTCTGTTCCCCATACAATTTGAAGTTCACGCGGCGTCTACTTCAATCTGCACTAGGACTGTGGCCTGATCGTTTGCATACGGAACTCATAATCATCGGATATCAGACGTGAGAATTTCGGGTAGCATGCAGAGTCTAGAACAATATATATAGCAGCAGAGCGCCTTTCGGCGAGCGTTTCGCGAAGATAATTACGGAGGCCGGGCTTAATAATGTGATGCCTTTAAGAGCGGCTGTCATTGTCTTGACACTTACCGCTAAGCGAAAGCAGATCCAATTCCGATGAATGCGGTGCCTCAGATGCTCCTCGTATGAAGTTCTCGAAAGATACAAGCTGCGAATTTAAAAATAGGTATAGATACAATTATGAACAAAAATTACAACAATGAAATCATAGTATCATTAAAAAAAGTTGGGAGTGAAAGTCGGACTGTCGCATCAAAGTTATATGTAAATAGTTCATCGTTCCGCCGCCCGGCCGGTACAATACACGCAAATCATTGAATTCTTTTTGTGATGCATGTATAAATTTACGGTTTTCCGATTTATTCCTTTACTTGTAGTATGACTATAAAGTCCTTGCGAAATTTCATGAGTCTTGTTCAGCAGGAAATACCTTACTTATGTTTTGATTCCCTTCAAAGCGTCAAATATGCCGTATACGGGGCATAACGTTCTCAATGTGACATTTGACATTTAAAAAGACTCGGGTATGTCAAATCTTGTTTTATTTGAGTTACTTAAGTTACACGATTAATTATTCGAGAAAAATCTGGGGTACCTACTTATGACATGGTGAATTCATGTTGGACTAGATATAATATATACATCATACATCTTAATTAAACTTAATTTTTTCTCGGTTGCAATGGATTGTAGACCTAAATATTTGATTCATAATTTCAGCTTGACACTACCACGCGTATCTTAGAAAACAGGTATTGACAAACAGACGATAAAGTTATCCTCTTAGGGTTTGTTTTATTTTTGAAGTACGGAACCCTAAAATTTTATGTACCGATGATAATGTCATAAAACTTTCTACAGAACGTATCGGCCCACGGATATATTTTAAGTTTAAAGTTTTTTTTGTTTCGACGATGGTTTTGAAACCTTTGCTTGCTCGGTAAATGGAAACATGAGAGCGAGCGAACGCATTCGTACAACGATGTTTGACTGGACTCAGGAGACGAATTCTCTCTTGTTCAGTCATCAATCAACGCAACATTGTTTTGGGAATTTTGCTCGCTCGGAACTGTCCTAAGCACTAAGTAGAAACACAGCATTCATGCTGGGGCTGCACCTGCGTGTATCGCAACGAAGCTTCGTGCTGTGACAGGATACGCGCAGATGCGACCGGCCATTATCGGCTATCGTGGCGAATATTCGAGCTGGTTACCTCAAACTGTTTTAGCGCACTAATCTCAACGCGTGGTCAGACTAGCGTTGTTCATTAACGTCCAGTTTCAATAATCAACCTCCAGTGAAAGGTAAGGATAATCTCGGTCCGTTTCTTAGCAACAGATGTATAAGTTTTAATAATGAAAATATCTAAGCAACAAAGTTTGATATATTGAAACTGGCCGTTAGTAGTTAGGTATCTAGTAGTACGATATCTTTATAGTAAAATGGGGTGGAGTGATGAAATGGTGCTGGAATTTCCTCATGATTATGAAGCTTTTAGATTTTAATAAGTGAACTATGTAATCGTTAGCACACAGCAAGAAATAAAGAAAGTCGTCGTCCATGGTTGAACGTCTACAAATGATGACGGCCATCTTGGTTCATTGTCCGATAGTTCGATCAAAATATAGAAGCTGCTTCATGAGCAGCACACAGGTCACAGGCTTTATCGGAATTACTTTTTAGTGTCAATGCTTCGGTATGCATTACTTCGTGACGATACACGCAGGTGCAGCCGAAGCATTAGAGTAGACAGGTACATTAAATAAGACTATTGTTACATAAAAATACGAAAACTGCCAGAGATGTTATGTTATATTAATTTTAAAACTCGGGTTTTAAATTTGGGTATTATTTATCAAGCATGATTAGGTAGCGGTCAAAGATTTTCCTATATTTCACAACGAAAAAAAAATCTTCGATTTGAATATGTTATTTTTGGAATAATGTCTTACACAAATCTTAAGTTACGTACGTCAGAAATAGTTGTGCTTTGACTCCGCAACCATTGCTCCGCCACATCAAGTACATCGTCTGGATTATGCATCAAGTCAACTTCACCTGCCCGACAAAATAATAACGAAATTAATATTCATCATCATCATCATCGCAAGCCTATTAATGTCCCCACTGGTGGGGCACAGACCAAGAAAACTTTTTATAATTATAACATTTTATTCACCATCAGAAAATACAAACAGTTGTTAAATAGTGTTAGAATATTTACATCAAGTTTACATTAAGGTATGCGTAACAACATCAAAGACTGACAGCTACCCTCCGCTTTAGTAACAAAACTGTATTGCGGCAGAGTAGGATCATCGTCGAGTAAACAAAATAGGGTAGATTCATGTCATTTTACAACTTACGACAGGTCGTGATAAAACTGCGAAATTCTAATACTGGACAGTATACGTAAAGTAAAAAGATAAATATTATAAAGATACTAATACACATCAATACCAAAATTAATAATTTATATAATATTAGGTCATAGAACTACATGTAAATTTATATTATGTATAAAATATTAAATAAATATATATTACATATGCATACTCAAATTTTGCCTTCTAATCCTTCAACAAATCCTCAGTACTACTATAATCAAGTGACGCCAAGTATCCGGTAATTATTTTATTACATTTAAAATATGTATTATTTCGAAGTGTGGGAAAAATTCGACTTAACTTGTTGTATAACCGAGGACTTAAATAATAAAAGAATCTACGTGCGAACTTAGTTCTACACGACAGCACCTTATAAGGATCTGGAATGCGTCTTACTGTGGAATTAGATGTAAGAGGAGTTACAAAATAATTGATTTAATATAAAGCTGTCTGACTGTTAGAACTTCGAATTCAATGTAAAGCGTTCTGGTTGGAAAGCGCGGTTCTCTAAAATTTGCAACTTTTAATATAGTCCTTTGCCCTCGCTCAATTTTTATTAGATGAGATTTATGAGCACCACCCCAAGCAGTTATGCCATAGTTTATTATTGATTGACACAATGTATAATAGACAGTTTTTATGGTGTTCTTATCTTTTACTTTTCTTATTTTTTTGAATATACATATAAGCTTACGTATTTTACAGCTAACTCCATCATCATTTGTTGTTTCCAATTCAGATTTCTATCTACTAAAATGCCAAGATATTTCATATTTATAGCTTCCGTTAAAGCTGGATAGACACAGTTCAAAGAATCATAGCAATTATGTGCTTGAACACTAAAATTTTTAGGTTGATCACTATCCTTAATACTGAATTTCATGTATTTAGTCTTATCTAGATTGAGAGTAAGAATATTCCTCTTAAGCCATTTCAAAACAAGTGCAAACCCCTCTTCAGCCAACATCCTTACCTCATCCCAGGTCTGCCCATTAAATAAAATAACAGTATCATCCGCAAATGATACTATTTTTGCATTTTGTAATTTCATGATAGTCAGACTGTTAAGATAGACCAAGAAGAGCGTTGAACCGAGGACGGAGCCTTGTGGGACACCATAATTTAATCTTATGCTATCACTTACCACATTATCAATTTTTACTGCTTGTGTTCTTTCTTTTAGATAAGACTGAAAAAGTTTAAGTGGTGTACCACGTATACCAGCGTTTTCTCATTTAAGTAATAGTATAGGTATAGATACTGTATCAAACGCGCGCGCTAGATCCAGAAAGATCGCAAGACATTTGTTTTTAGCGTCTAAATTTTGGTCAATTTGTTGGATAACATCTTCAATTGCATTTGTGGTTGACATGTTTTGTCTAAAACCGTACTGAGCAGGCGAAAAAAAATCATTATTTTCTAGGAAGGTAACAAGTCGGGAATTAATAGATTTTTCCAATATTTTAGATAATGTTGGTAATAGTGAAATCGGCCTATAGTTATCGATTTTAGTTTTATCTCCCGCTTTATGTACTGGAGTAATAAGCGACCTTTTTAACATTACAGGGAAAGTCCCCGTGGAAAAGCATAAATTACAAATATGCGATATTGGGCGAGCAAGGGACATTGCTCCCATCTTAAAGAACACTGACGGGATACCATCCCATCCAGCAGACAAACTATTTTTGAGTGATCCTATCAACTTACATATTTCATACTCGTCCGTTGGTAACAGTACAAAAGAGTTCAGGGGTGATCTTGCACTATTCGGATACATTTCGGGATATGTATTAGGCTCAATTTGTACCACCTGCATTTTAGTTGCTAATTTTTCACCAACATTGCAAAAATACTCATTTATGTAGTTTACAGAATCTTCAGGAGTACATTTGAGCGATAATAACATATTCGCATGGTTATTAAGGTTACAGACTCTTCGTATAGTCTTCCACATATTTTTAATGTCATTTTTATATTTATTAATTTCAGATTTCTCATATTCATTCTTCAAATTATGCAGTAAATTATTGCAAAAGTTTCTATACCTCACATATGTTACACGCAAAACAAGATTATTCGGGTCTTTTTTAAAATTACGATTTAATATATCTCTCCATCTTATGCACCTTACTAAGCCTGGAGTCATCCATGGCTTAATAGCAAACCTTCTGTTACTAATTTTACGCTTCGTAGTACACTTATCTAAAATGTTTGATAAAATTTTAAGGAATTTGTGTGTAGCTTCATCAGGATTTAAACAATCTGTTATCTCTGTCCAATCAAGTAAACTTAATTCTGTAACCGCCATATTAAAATCCGTTTTGGTTACAAAAATATTCTTTTTAGGGATTTCGCCAGAACGCTTCACATTCACAGACATTAAGACACTGCAGTGATCAGTTATAGATGAGTTACATATCAGTGTCATTGCTTTGGAACCGATCGTTATGAATGTGTGATCAATACAGTTTGGCCCTCGAGTTGGAATAGTGTGACTGGGCATAAGACCATGCATTGATAGTATATTAAGGTAGTCATTAGTTCTCAGATCAGTATTTGTCTGTTTAATGTCCACATTCAAATCGCCCGTCATAATCACATTTTTAAATGTTTTAAGTTCACCAATAATTTTGTCAAGAGACTGCAGAAATTCATCTATGTTATAAATGGATGGTGATCTATACATTGCGAGTATTGCAAACTGATCATTTATCGTTATAAGCAAACAATCCGAATTTACAACATTGGGTTCTCTTACTGTAACATTAAGACTTTGGTGGGTATAAACGACAACTCCACTATTTTGATTAGTATGTACCGTAGTTGAATGACAATTGTAGTTAGGTATATTAGGTAAATTACTTATATGTGGGAGCCAACACTCAGTTAATATTAATAAGTCTAATTTAACATTTAGTCGTGTAATGTGTATATTAAAATCTTCAAAATTTTTGTTTATGCTTCGGATATTTTGTACTATTATATTCAATTGTCTCATAGTACCCAAGATAGAGCCGCAATCCCCGGGATCGTCCACGAGACGTGCCTCCCCAACATTGACATTGTTATCAATATCAATGCTGATGTCACGCAGGTCATTAGCCATTATAAAGTAGTTTATTTATTTTTTTATAATCAAATGACACCTCCCGATGATCGCTTATTCTATTTATTAAGATTAGCGGAAGAACCAAATTGGCAAATGAGTATCTTCTAAAATATGAAAACAACAAATAATTAAATATAAAAAACAAATATACATTAATAATATAAAGTATTATTATAAATAAAATAGATATTATAAGACCTGTTGACATTACTAGTTTATATAAAAAAACAATCAGAGAAAGAAATTTAAATTTAGAGAACAACCTTAGTTTTTCTAGTCAATAGTTGTCTTCGAGCTTGAGGATTTCAATATCCTTTTGCTTCTTTATGGGAATAGCTGGTTGACCTTCCTCTTTGCGAAACATCACCATACCCTTTGAGATCCAACAGTACCTATAATTGCCTTCGTTGGCCAATCTTTTCGCAGAAGCAAAGAGTTTCTTTATAAATTGTGTATTTTTCTCGGAAATATAAATTGGTGTTATAGGGCTGCTAATACCGAGATAAGTACTATTCAATTTATTATCTTTGTTTTCCTTGTTATAAAATGTAACTGCCTTGAGAATTCTAATTTTGTCGGCCGCATCTTTCAGCTCAACTATAATTGGAGCATTTTCCTTACCCCTACGATAGATTTGTTCAATGTCAGGTTTATTCTCTATGACACCAACTACTTTTATTATATTATCAAGCATGGTATGGAGATCTTCATTTTGAAGTCTAGGTACATTTTTAATTTCAATTGTTCTCTTAAATTGTTTTTTTTGCAATTCATGAACTTGCTCTTCCAGTTCGTCAATCTTCAATTTAGCATCAGTGTATTCATTTTCAATGATCTTCATTTTTTCGCGGAGTTCATGATTTTGATTTTTTGTTTCCTGAAGCATTTTTTCGATTTCACTATTAGATTCAATTATTTTCTTGTTTTGCGATGTCAACTCTTCCATAGCCTTATCCACCCTGGCCCACCTCGCATCCTGATCAATTCGAAATTCATTCAGCATTTCCTTAACTTCATCACAAAATTTGGAGAACGTATCATTTTCAGGACATTTTCTCTTCCTTAAGTTAAATCTCGTTATAAAATCTTCTCGAGGGCTATTTAAGTTGGGCTGAGAAGATGAAATTGGTGACCGGTGTAGTGGCATCTTATTTTTTTGCATATACTGTGAACTAACCAAACCGGTATCAAGGCGCCTTAGATGCGTAGCAGGAGTGAATCGATAAAGTATACCTTGCTATCTTCCTTCGGCACAGCACGGACAAGGCTCTTCACGACAACACAAAATGGATTTTAAAGGTACAAGCACTATGAGTGATATTATTATGATGGGATAACTAGATGCACCTGTAGACAGCGACACACGTCCAGTGTATGATACAACCCGACGATGAACTTTGTTTCCTATTTGCGTACTTATTGCGAAAGTACCTACTTTTCATTAGTTGTTGAATGCTATATGAAAGAAAAAGACGTTGTGCATAAGAGCCCTTTTAGAAAATTGCGCCGCTGCCGTACTGATCGGCGCGTAGGTAGATTTGCACTAGTATATATTGCATTCTTCGGGTGATGTTTCGAGTCATATAAAATAATTATGATTGAACTTATTATAAAAATGTATACATATTTCAGTAGGTAAATGATGATAGATTCGTTTTTGTTAGTAATTCTATTTAATTAAATATCAAAATACGAGGTAAACCTACATAATTTTTTGGGAAAATTCAAGTAGGTTAGATGTTTTTTTTGTTAATTAATGAGATGGAAAATTTAAATTCTAATACATTATGTTCTAACAAAAACATATTTCTGATGTCTCAGTAATTAATTTGATCTAATTCATTAAATATTATTGAGAGATTCAGGCGTTTGAAGTTGTGCATATTATCGTTTTTTCCGTAAACTAGCTGCAGTAGAACGATCAGTACAAAAAAAGGAAAATAGTATTTGCAAATATTCTACATTAACTTACAATAAGAAGAATATATCTACTATTAACTTTTACTGGAAATAGTCAAAATCTTTTCTAAGGGGGTAAAGGAGGCGCTCAAAAATTACGATTTTTTGCAAAAAAATGTGAAAGGGCGCTTAATCAAATTAACTTTCAATAATGCTTTCAAAGTAACACTTTTTTAATTGGTCCGTTTTATTATATTGTAAGAAGACTCGAACTTTAAAATCGGGCATGGGATTATTGTTTTTTCCCACCCTTAAACATTACTTTAATTTTCCAGAATACCTTATTTTTGCCTAAAATCGTGGTAACAAACGGTCTGGCAACGCTGTCACCTACTAGGTTCTACTATGTATTTTAATAACCTTATAAAAATAATGTTCATAAACTACAAAAACGTGTTATTTTAGTGCGATGCCTTCTCCACTGAGCATGGCTAAGTAGGCGACATTTCAATTTATTTTTAAACAAATAAATTAATTTTAAGAAAAACAGACAATACTTTTTATTGCTACATAAATACACGACACCTGTCTCGAGGGTGCTCTTAATTCGTGTTAAATATTCAGATAAATCGTACCGATTGATGATTATTACTTATCCTCAAAAACGGCATTCCTCGAATGCAACACAGTTTCTAAATTGACTCTGAAGGCTCTTAGTAGAAATAAGTCTCATAGTCCACATTCGATCATAGCAAAGAAATGCAGCTTACTAAATGGCTCAGAACTAAAGCATAGAAAGAGTTTAAATTCAACTCATATGGTCGACTTATATAGTTATCTTATTTTTACATAGACCAAAAAAGGGATAGATATAATTTTAAGTAGCACGCACGCTGTTCATAGCAACATAATATTTTCCTTAACTACATACACTTACCTAAATCTGCTTCCACGAATACACTATTGAGTGCAGTTAGTTCCTGCAATTTTTGTCTGAAACAAAATCTCCTATAAGTAAACATCAAATTAAAATTAATCGTAATCATTCAGCCATACGACACCCAATGCTGAGTACAGGACAATATGATATACATAAGCTTATTTCTCATAGTTGTGATATCATACTACTTTAAATAACAATCTCAAAACTGTCGCAAGGAAAATAGAATTGAAACTACTCATGTTATGATGTAAGTGTGCATCCATTTACAGTTAAATAAATAAATACAAAGAAATAAATAAATTAAAGAAAATACATTTTCCTCGATCAAATAAAACGGTTGAATTCGTTCAAATCTGTTGTGGGTTTATATGTTTGTTAATCAATCACTCAAATACTACGGTATCAAATACTAGTACGGATTACGATGAAAGGAGATTGCTCAAATTGGCCCAAATGCACAAAAAATATTAACATATACGGTAATTCTTGGCGTAATTTATACTTTATTTTACAGTCATTAGATTTTAACGGACACCTTTGTATAATATATTCATTTTAAAAAGGACTTTTAATTTTACCAGTTTGAAAAACATACGAATCATTTTTAATTGCTATGGGTGTAGTAACATTCAGCCAAAGACTGATCGAAGTTGTTTATATAACATAAAATCAAATCTATTTTGTAAAGATCGATAAAATTAAACATTTTTTTTTATTACACTGTGGTATTAATAATTATCTCTCTCACTCGCTCATTCACAATCATCATACAGTTTCTGCCACAGAGTACCTTCCTTATTATAACCGGAAATGCATAGATGATACCTGATTTTAAAAGTTACTCTTGTGCATTAACTTTAAAAACAAGCAACTATCTGTTAATCTACATGCTCTATATCGAGCCGTTACCGCCAAATTATCGTAAGCGACACTTTTGTCGAAATGCGTTTTTTGTGGAAACTAATATTTTAAACCGTAACGGACCCATCTCTGTTGATATTTCCCTCCATAAGAACACCGTTATAATATAACGGAAGGAAGGTTGGAGGGAAATATCATTATATAATTATAATTTCAATTTTAAAATCATTAACTCACATGGAAACGTCCTGGATCTTTTCTTCTGAATTTGTCCATCGAATTGGGTTTTCATCCGGTGGTGGACCCAATTGAGGCTCTGCTTATGGCGTGAATATGGAAGAAAGTAAATAACTAATAGAAATTGTATTTTTTTCTCAAGTAGGTATATTATGAAATGTTTAATAAACACTCTTATATGCATATGAGGGACATAAGTTTGACTCTTGAATTTCCGTGGTCGCAAGACTATATTAAAAGACTCGCGCTTTAATATGCGAAAAAATATTGATAATAGGAAGATGATTAATGCAAAGTTAAGATACAATCTACTATTATCTAATAATAGTATGTTTGTGAATTTTACAAGCGGTATGTTAAATTGTAGCAGTAGTGTATGGATATTATAAATTTGGGAAAAATGAAAATGCCATTGAATGCCAATGCCACTAACCCCATGAAGTTTTGGTAAAGTAAAATAGAAACTTTATTAGATAAAAAATCAACCTATCTGCGATTTATATTAGGTTTATGAACTTATATATTTTTTTAATAATGAAGTTATTTTATTGCGCAGCATTTTACACCAAATGGCGAAGGTACACGTAAACTCAGTCGCGAAGAAGTTAAAATGAAAACTTTCTTGGCGTTCGTAATCCCACGTTTTATAATTAAAATTAATGTCTGGAAGGTACTTTTACGATTCAAGTAATTGTAACAGTTCTGATTTTTTTTTAAATATTATAGATACTACAATACGGCATTGTTTTTCATAACAACGTACCTGTGCCATCTGATGCCTGAGAATTGGCCCACAGCACCAGTTAGCGATTATGTATACGTTCAATGTACGCACTAATACTACTTGATTAATTATCAATATTTTATCCATCACACAATAAGTAAGGTACGGCGTCTTACTCTATAAGTAGATGTAATGTGATGCGACTAAAGGACTTTACTCATAAGTCATGAGCAATGCGAGCGATATCGAGTCGATTGTCGATCTTGATTGCATAGGTATTGTACCTATGTCCTCAAAGAACAATGCGATGCAATTCGGCCGCTTTTCATCGTCTCGACCTTCTCTAATTTTTTATTCGTAATCATCATGTCTAGTACGAGGACGTCCTTAGTTTTTACATGTTTTGTAGTGTTTTATTTTACTATGATCTTCTGTAAGGTAGAGGTTACTTCCCCAGACGGGCGCTCCAATTCGAGCGAATTAGTCTTGTACCTACTGGATCCTCAAGCTTCGACCCGAAAGCAAAAAGTGCCTATTAGAACACAATTACATGGCCCATTCGACCTTCTTAAAAAAAATATATTCAATGTGCCCATTGGACCTCTTTTTTATGGGAACCATTGAAACTTATTGATAGTTTTAATAAGAAAAGTACAGTCATGTAGAAAATAGCAGACTAAAATAAAATTAATAATTGTTTTAAACCCACTAAACGAATACTGTCTAGGTGATGACTCCAAACTGTAAGAAGACCTCAAAAATAAAAATAAAAAAACAGGTTGTAATTTTTCTTCGAGTTAACGACATTTATCGTGGTCTCGCCTTATATAACGCAAATTTGAGGGCAATACTGTGTTGGAGTACTCAGTGTATGTGTATAAAAGTAAAGTCTTATGGTAGCCATACACACTACGAGAAATCGTTACGATTACACTGTACCGTCCGAACGGTACCGATAAATCGTAGCGTGTATGTTGTAAAACTGCACAGTTTTCTATACGTACGCCACGTACGATAAACTGTTCCGTTCGAACTGTACAGTCTGATCGTAACGATTTCTCGTAGTGTGTATGGCCGGTATTAGCGAGAGCGCCCAGTAGCTGTGCGGTCGGAGCGGTCATTAGTACTTCCTGTAAGTCACACTACTTGACAAACACTAATCATATACAAAAACTAGCTTTTTGTGGACAAGCTAAGCGCGGGACTTGCTAAAAATTAGATTTTTAAAATGAGATGACCTAGAGACGATTGGAGCGCAGTTCGAGGCACACCTTTTAATATCGTTGCCAGTTCAGTACAGAAATAATTCATCATCAGCCATGTCAATGTCCCCACAGGGGCACAGGCCTTGCTTATATATGAAATAGGGAAATTGGGCCGAGACACCACGCGGGCCCGGTGCTAAGGACTGCATATGCAGCCGATATCAACCGCTTAACATGCTTTCCGAAGCATGGAGGAGCTCTAGATAATTAGTTTTTGACCCAGGTAATGACTGACCATTGTGAATGTTGCTTAACTTTCACGATTGCAAGCTGAACGTGCTAATGCACTTGCGCCATAGGGCTCTTACTCCTAACCTTCTTTGAACACAAAAAAGAATATCTAGCCCGGAGATTTGCAATTGCGCAAGTGAAGTCGTTAATCGATTTGCCTGAAAAAAGAATCGCATGCAGATTGTAACGTGTTCGAGTAGTCGAGCTCTCCTATACATTTCAAATAAAATCGCAGGCCATAAGGCAGGACGTACACGCAATTCTATATTAAAGCGATTTGAGAGCCACATCGTCCTACTACCGTACGATTTGGTCAATAAGCATTAGCGACTGTCAATACATTTCCTTAGGTTGCAAAGTCATGTGATACCTCACAAATATCGACAATACAATTCTGCATCGCGTCGCGTCATGAGTAAAGACGCTAAATCACAATATATCTCTACGTATCTACCCTTCGATCAACAATTATCTACCATATTTAGGCTTGCCAGGTGTCCGGCTTTAGCCGGACGTTTGGCTTTTTGCGGTCGCGTCCGGCCAAATATGTACGTGGTTGGCCTGTCCGGCTTTTGTCAGGCGTTTTGTCAGTGGCGATTCGTACGACGTTGGGTGGACGAGCGTCCGAGCGGACAAGAGAGCAAATTGATGGCGCGCGCGGCGCGTGACTACCCCGCCCCGCTGCCCGCGCCGTCCGTAAAAACATTATGTTTGGCAATAAAAAAAATATGTCCGGCTTTTAGGGCAAAATGTCAGGCTTATATAGTGCGCATTCCGGCCTTTGTATTTTATGGCCTGGCAACCCTAACCATATTACATGATTTCTGTAGTTAGTACTTACCTAAATTTATATCCATAGACACACATTCAAGATTCTGCAGATTATGGCTGAAAAAAAATGTGATGATGAACTAAATGTACATCCAGATTTGACTATAAGTCATGTTATTTAAATTTAGTCAAGTATAAAGGTACTTAATGATCCTACATTGTAAGCTCCCAACTTATATAAAATGCAATATAGGTATTAATTATGTCAATACCTATATTGCATTTAATATAAGTTACATATTTTGTTGATTCTGGAATCACCTTACATGATTTTCCTAATATTGGATATTCCTGACATTGAATTATGCTAAATATTGGTTATACTAATCTAAAGTAATAAACATAGCAATGCTATTTATTATGACATTTGTCTGGCCATGATTTTATAAAATTATACATAAGTTTGAAGGAGAATATTTCTCTTCTTTGTCCACTATAGACGATAATGTGACTGCCATAAAAAATAGTTAAAATTAAAACAATAAGTTTAATTCTTTGGATAGGATGGAATGTTATTATAGTACTATCAAAAAAATCGATTTCTAAGCCACTAGACTTATAATTCGCTTGAAACTGTTAACACACCTACAATATTATATAAACAATGCAAAGGACATGGTTCAAATTAGGATGGAGGGTGGTAGTCAGTCAGAGAGTTGTTTTTTATTTGTTTTGCTCACCTAATTATAAAATTATTCCTTAAGACCTGAAGAGTTGGTAAGAGTGAGAAAGAGTTGGGGTGAATCAGTGGTGTTAAACAGAAAGCGAACAGCAGGTTTTTTAAAGCTAGCAAAAATTGGTTCTGTGGACTAATGTTAAAGTATAATTGTGAAAGCAAAAAGTGACCATTGGTAATTTTAGGATAAAACAGAATCGAACTTTAACATGGGTTCATATCACAAAATTTTGCTTGCTATATGAATGCCAGCTGGTCGCTTTCTGTGTTACAATGTTCACTTTATCCTCTTACTGGATACTTGAAAATTTGAGTTTCTTTGTGAATACAGGCCATTACTTAACTTAATATACTTTGTAGAAAATATGGCACTATAATTTAACATTTACAAGGTATTCTTTTAATTAAGAACTTAATTCTAAATTCTTAAGAAAAAGTCATTAAACTAAAATATAATCGATTTTTCCAACTACCCACTGATAATGTCTTCGAGTTGTAAAGAAAAAGGACACTTGGAAGTTAATGAAATACATAACACATATCGAAAATTAGAAATACATTCTATGGACATGTTGATTTAAATAAAGTTTTTAGTATTATATTATGTATAATACATTTTCTGAGTATAAGATAAAACTCTTCATTTATTTAAATAGGAAACTTAAAAAAGCACTTGAATTTGTGAAATTACACTTGTGATAATGTTGACAATAAATTGTTATTCAGTCGCCATACCTAGTTAAAGCTAGTTCTAGCCTGGCTCTGTTCTCTTCAGGAGTTGAGTAATATATTTCAAATCTGAAGGCTATTTGTCTACAAATATAGGTAATAAGATCTTGGAATAATTTTACTCACTGAACAATATCCACGGGCTTAGGATCTGGCTCATTACATTGAAACTCTGCTTTAGAGAATTTCCAGTTATTCTTTTTTTTGTAAAATGATAATTTGTAAATAGATTCCATTTTGCCGAATCGTAATCCACAACTTACGAATTTGATAAAATTGCTTTACTTTGATTTTGCCGGCGAGTTCGGTCCAGATCACAGATCACTATCAGACCGGCGCTGAAAACAAACCACAGATGTGCCTTAGCACAGATAACAAAGACTGAACATTGATGTCGATTCTGGCATGATTCTCTAAAGCTAAACTTAAATTTGACAACAGTGCATCCTTGTCATTCTCTATACAGAATGAAAAGAAGAGACTGATGTTAAATTTAATTTTAAATGTAGTAATGTTAGCTATTCTAGCCTGCCTTCGCTCACAGATACTCTTCAGGGTCACTTTTCTGATTCACCTAAGAATTTTAACGTTATTCACATTAATGCGCAAAGTATTCCGGCCCATTATACAGATTTGTTGGCGTCTTTTTATAATAATAAAAACCTTCAGGCTGTATTAGTATCAGAATCCTGGCTGAAGCCGTGTTTACCTTCCTCTTCGTATGCTTTTCCCGGTTTCCGTCTCATACGGAATGATCGCGTAGGTGCGGCTGGAGGCAGGGTTGCTATTTATCTCCGCGACCACATTCCTTTCTTTGTTGTCAGCACCTCGTCCCAACCGCCACCGTTAAACGCAGGCGAGCATCTACTGATTGAGGTTGAATTGTCGAACACCAAAATATTGCTTGGGGTGTACTATAGCCCATCACTCCGTATAAATTATTTTTCTTCTTTCGAAAATCTTCTTGAAGATTTTATTCCTCCTTACAGCTATTCCATCATCATGGGTGATTTCAATACATGCCTGCTCAAGAATGACAATCGCTCTTCTTCCCTCAGAGCCATTATAAATTCTGCAAATTTGCAAATTCTTCCGCTTAGTCCCACTCATCATTTTCCGAACTGCTCCCCTTCTCATCTTGACCTTCTAATGGTCTCATCTCCTCAACATGTTGCAAAGCATGGTCAATGCCCAGCGGATGTCTTTTCTTATCACGACTTGGTGTTTTTATCATATAAAATCCGCCCTCCTAAAGCAAAACGTAAAGTTATTCTTCAGCGCAATTTTAGTGGTATGAACCAGGGAGCTTTTCTTGAAGATGCGCGCAGAAGGTATTGACTGGTCTCCTGTATACAAAGCTGTAACCATAGACGAACAGGTTGCAATTTTCAACAGTCTTATAATACAACTATACGACAAACATGCACCTTTTTGTTCTATCAAAATCAAACATCTTCCCGCGCCATGGCTTACCGAGGATATTAAAGAGTTAATACACCGCAAAGCTGCTGCAAAATGTAGATACAAGCAATATCCTAGTGACAAAAACAAAGCAAATTACAATAAGGCTAGAAATCGCTGCAATACAGTGTGTAGGGACGCCATGCGACGTCATATTCATTCCTCTGTCGAAAATGAGGTTCCTGCGAAAGTTTGGAAGTTCCTCAGGTCACTTGGCATTGGTAAAGCTCGTAAAGAGACTGTTCCAAATAATATTAATATTGACTCCCTCAATCTTCACTTTTCTTCATCATCTGGAATTAGTAACTCTGACAAAACTAAGACCATTGACTACCTTTCTTCTTTACCATTGCCTGACGTTCCTCCATTTGTCTTTGCTCGATTATCGGATTGTGATGTTAAAAAGAGCATTTTGTCAATCACCTCTAATGCTGTCGGTAGTGACGGTATTAGTCGCAATATGTTGATGCCGATTCTTGATTTCATCCTTCCAGTCATTTCCTTCATTTTTAATTGTTCCTTGACTGAGGGTGACTTCCCTTCTGCATGGAAAGACGCTCAAATGATCCCTTTACCTAAAAAGCCTAATCCTAAATCTGTCACCGAATTCCGTCCCATTTCTATACTTCCTTTCCTATCCAAGGCACTTGAGCGTCTTGTACATAACCAATTAAGCGCATTCCTTTCTAAATATGACCTCCACAACCCATTTCAATCTGGCTTTCGACCTGGGCATAGTACTGTTACCGCTCTTGTCAAAATTACTGATGATATTCGCCTGGGTATGGAACAGGGTGTTGGTATTCAGCCAGCACGACAACAGGAAAACTCAAGAAGTAACATGTATAGAGAATACATGCCAACGTCTTGATGACAGTCAAGAACGTTATTCTTTTATCCTGATAAAATAGCTATAATAATGAAGTCATGTGTAATATTGTATAAAGAAATAAAACAAAGTTTCGATTCAAATACTGCCATTTATTTACTCTATCAAGTGGTAGCAGAACGCTCTAGTGTGTAAATAAACATAAAAGTCAGGTAGATTCACGTACCTAAAATTTCATGTACGTATAGTGTAGTGTAAATATAAAGCTAAAATGGCAGCAGCTGCAAACAGCCGTGATATCGAAACTTTAACAAAATCAAATTATGATACCTGGTGCATACAAGCACAAGCAGTTCTCATAAAGAACGACCTATGGGACATTGTGAGTGGTGCGAATTTGAAGGCCAAAGCCGAAATTATCTTGTTGCTATCCTCGTCCGAACTCAAGCAAATCAAAGGCTGCATAACATCAAAGGCGGTATGGGACAAGCTAAAAGCTACCTACCAGAGTACCGGACCAGCGCGAAAAGCAACACTGTTGAAACAGTTAGTACTTAAAAGAATGACCCAAGGGGAAGACATACATGACCATTTAAACGATTTCGTGGACATAGTAGATAAACTCGAAGATATGGACATCAAAATACCTAAAAAGTTGCTCAGTGTAATGATATTGTATAGTTTGCCAAATTCCTATGAAAATTTTCGCATAGCTATCGAGTCAAGAGATTGATTGCCAAGCCCCGAAGATTTGAAAATAAAAATTTTTGATGAATCTCAGGTGCGACAATGTGTTGAGCAATCAGAGTCTGAAAATAAATTTGAAGTTTTCTTCACAAAGAAAAACAAATTCTGTACATATTGCAAGAAAAATTCTCATAACACAGAATCTTGTTGGTCCAAGAAAAAACATACCAAAACTAGTTCGAAGGTTTCAAGCAACAAGACCGACAAAGACAAGAAAGAACAACGAAAAAGTTTCTACACCTGTCTCAATGTAAATAATGTAAATATGTCAAAGAGGTCTTGGTGTTTAGACAGTGGTTGTACGTCACATATGACAAATGATAAACAATTTTGCGTAAATATTTCCGAAGATAATAGTTACGTAAAATTGGCTTCAAATGACCAAACGACGCCAGTCAAAGCTAAAGGAATTGCACAGGTACGTCTAAACAATTATTTATGTGATCTAAAGGATACCCTGTACGTGCCAAATCTCACTTCAAACTAACTTTCAATTGGGAAAATTACCGACAGAGGCAACAAAGTCGTATTTAAAAAAGACAAAGCATATGTTGTTGAACCTGACGGTGAAATATCGCTTCAAGCACAGCGAACAGATGCCTATACTACATTAAAAGCAGTGAACCCAAAGATAAAGCACACTCGGTAACAATCGAATCGGAGATGATGACATGGCACAAGAAGCTAGGCCACATCAAATAGAGACCTAAAACAAATGGCAAAAATGAAAAGTTACGAGGACTTACTTTCAAGGGTGATAAGCTGGAAACTTGTGAAACGTGCATTAAAGGCAAGTTGACACGACTACCATTTCCCAGAAATGACTGTGAATAGCACCCAACCTATAGAAATAATACACACTGATGTCTGTGGCCCGTTCGAAACAGAAACATTATGTCACATTCATCGATGATTTTACAAGATATAGTTATATATATTTTATGAAAAATAAAAATGAGACAAGAAGTTGAGAATTATCACAAAGTAAAGATACAAAATTTACAGTCTGACAATGGGACCGAATACCGAAACAATGAGTTCGATCAGTACCTGAAGGAAAACGGGATAAAGCGGCGGCTGACCGCACCATACACGCCTCAACAAAACGGCGTTTTTGAACGTAAGAATAGGTCCCTGCTAGACAAAGCTCGGTGTTTGCTAATAGATGCAAACGCACCTAAATACCTGTTGGCTGAAGCTGTAAATACTGTAAATTATCTTGTAAATAAAAGTCCAACCAAAATCCTCAAAGGTAATACACCATATGAACTATGGGTGGGGAGACCAGCATCGGGAAACCATCTCCAAGTCTTTGGAAGCAAAGCTTTTGTGCTCCAAAAGAAACGACGAGGAAAGCTGATACCTAAATCCCTCATGGGTGTATTCATGGGTTACGCGTCAAATTCAAAAAGTAATCGGATTTATATACCCGAGAAAAATGACATAATGATTAGCAGAGACGTGAAGGTTATAAATAACATGTATTATTCAAATAAAAATGAAAATTACGAAATTCTTATCGAAAATAAGAAACAAAGCAAAGAAAGCAGAAGAGAAGTCCAAGAAATTGAATTCGAATCAAGAACGAACGATGATTTAACTTTACCTCAAGTTGATGGTGAAAATCACCATAGTGAAAATGTAAATAGAGATGAAGAAAATTTATCTAGAAATGAAGAGGTTAAAAATAACATTACAGATATTCGATCGAAGACAACGTAGACCGCCAACATGGATGAATGATTATATACAAATTGTTCATAGCCAAAACACCGAATGTGTAACTGATGAATGCGAGGACAGATACATAGAAGAACAATTACACAAATGTGATGATAATGATGATGAAAATTGTCACGACGCTATAAAATCTGAAATCAGAGCTCACATCAAAAACGGTACATGGCGGATAGTTTCTAAGGAAATCAATATGAGACCGATTGGATTTAAAATGATTTTGAGAAAGAAAATCGGCCCAGATAATATTGAAATTAAAAAGGCTAGACTTGTAGCACAAGGCTTTACACAAATAGCAGGCGTAGACTACAAAGAAACTTTCGCGCCTGTCGCAAAGCTAAGTACTATCAGAACAGTTGTTGGAATGTCATTAGAGGAAGACTTAGAATTATGTCAGTTAGACGTGACTACAGCGTATCTAAATGGTGAACTAGATGAAACAATAACAATGAAGGTTTTCAATTATTTATAAGAATATGTAACAGAGGTTATGATAGATGAAAGCGACAAAGATGATCTCACTATATAGCCCGAAAGATGCTGGTA